TTTTTTTTTTTTTTTCCATGAGGATCTGCTGCTGCTGCCTGGCTCTGTTTGGGATCCTGGATTTTCAGGGTTCCTGGCAGGAGAAGCAGAAAAAAAAAAAAAAAAAAAAGCAAAAAAAACCTCCATGGTTCTGGAACCATTGGTTCTGCCTTTCCTGGGAAGGTGATCCTGGTAAAAAGAGGGTGATGGAGGAATCCTGAGGGATTTTTGGTTTTTTTTTAGCAGCAGCTTTAGGTTTAGAGCTTTGTTTCAGCAGGGGATGCAATTCCTGTGCCCAGATTTTGGCACATTCAAGCTCTGTTCTGCAATAGGTCAGGAAGGGATGAAAATCCCTGGAGTTGGACAATTCCTTCTTTTCATTTGGAGCATCCCAAGAATTCAGTGTCCTTGGGATAATGGGAGTGGTGTGTGAGAACAGAAAGGGATAATTGGGATAATTTCTCCCTCTGATGCATTTTTCACACCTCAAAGAAATCCTTTTGGGTTCCTCATGTTCATTTTAAGGGCAGTGGAGCTGCTGAGGTGCAAATCCCTTTTTTCCAGTGGGATTCCCTGTGGGATTCCCTGTGGGATTGCAGCTGGGATGGGAGGGAAGGGCCCTGATCCCCTCCTGGAGCTTTTCCTGGAGCTGAGATCAGAACCTGCCCCTCTCTTGTGTCCCGAGCTTTATTCATTTCCCTTTTTGTTTAAATTTTTTTTTTTTTTTGGCTCCTGTTTTATGGCAGTTTTTGATGTGCTCTGCAGTTTTAAGGCAGATTTGTTCCCAGTCCAGCTCAGTGTTTTATCAAGAGGTTCTCTTGGTATTGTCACCTCTGGAAATCAACCTCAGCACGGGGTCAGGGAATGTTGTTAAAATCCACAGGTATTTAAAAACTGTTTTTTTTTTTTTAAGTTTTGGGTGACAGTTTTGCTCTGTTTCCTTCCTCAGCTCTGTGTGAGGAATTGGATCTGGAAGAGTAGAAATGGGGAAAAAAAAAAAAAGACTTTTCAGCCTCTGAGGTGGGGGTTATTTTGTCCTAAAAATCACAGAGTGGGTGTTGCAAGCAGCCCCTGAGGAGCCCAAAATCCCTGAGGATTCACTCAGGAGCTCTCCAGGGGTGTTTATGGTTTGGTTGGGAGTTAATTAAGCAGCAATTAGCAGTGGTTGAGTGTGAGCAGATCCAGGGGAGTGGGACAGGCTGGGTTTGTTGGGATCAGAGCTGGCAGAGGAAGATTTTGGGATAAAATGCAGGAACAGTTTAATGCAGCCCTCCAAGGTGTCCCTTTGCTTTGG